GATCCCAATGATGAATGTAACTGTATTTTATACCTAAAATGTACCAATAAAGTTAATGGGGAAAAAATAAAAAAATAAAAAAAAATAAGAATGACCCTAGGTTACTGTCAAACCACCTAGATGGATGGAGAAAATTATGAGTTCTGCTTCTGGCACACTAAGTTTGATGAGCTTTGCAGGGGAACAATTAGGCAGTTGGACATGAACTTTGGTGGTCAGAGGAGAGGGCTGGACTCTGATTCTGGAAGTAAATGATGCATAGATAGGTGGTGAATGAAGTGGGAGGCTGGGTGAGTTGTTTAGGCAGAGAGAGAGTAGGGAGAAAAACCAAGAGCATCCAGGATGGACTTGGCTTTGATGAACTCCAGCTTGCAGTGGCTACAGGTAGGGAGGTAACCCTAACAAGGTGAGTCTAGGAAGTGGCCAGAGGACAAAAGCCAGGAGAATGTGAGGGCATAGTTTCCAGGAAAGAATGTGTTTGTGGGAGCGGGCAGGGTTACTAACACTGTATGTTCCTGGGATGTCAAATAATATGAGGAATGAAAAATGTCCATGGAATTCAGCAACATGGAGATTGAATTCATTTCCCAGAGTTCCCATAACAAATTACCGCACACGGCATGGCTTAAAGCAACGGATTTTTTCTTTCACAATTCTGAGGCAAGCAGTCTGAAATCAAGGTGTTGACAAAGCCATGCTCTCTCTGAAGTCTTTAGGAGAGGATTTTTTTCCTGGTCACTTCCAGCTTGTGGTGCTCACCAGCAGTCCTTGGTTCTATTTGGTTGGAGATGCCCCGCTCCATGCTCTGCCTCCGTCTTCACCTGGCTACCTCTCCTATGTGCCTGTGAGCCTGTGTCCAAGTCCCCCTCACTTTTTGGCAGTACTAAGGCTTGAACTCAGAGCCTTCATGCTGAGCTGCATCCCTGTCCCCTTTTTCGTTTTTTAATTTTGAGACAGGTTCTTGCTAAGTTGTCAAGGCTGGGCTCCATCTTTCGATTCCCCTGTCTCAGCCTCCCACAGTGCTGGGATTACAGACATGCCATACCATACCCAGTTTAAATTTCTCTCCTCTTAATAAGATACCAGTTACCTTAGAAAGGGTCCATCCTATTCAGTATGACCTCAAATTCACTTGATTATGTCTGCAAAAATTTATTTCCAAATAAGGCCACATTTAGAGGTACTGGGTTTAGGACTGGAACAACACCTTTTTGAGGAACACAAGTCAATCCAAAATAGAGGTCACTGGTAATATTGAAAGCTGTTTTGTGGCAAAATGAGGAAAGATGACCAGAGTTTGTTAAGAAGAGGCAGGAAAATGGACATAACACAAGAAAAGACACCTCTTACAAGGAATCTGGCTGCTTGGAGCATTAGAGTACAGACCAGGCTGAGAAAAACTCCATCCAAGCACCACCAGCTCTACCACTAGTCATGTGATCTTGAGTAAGCCACATGAGCTCTCTGAGTCTTGGGTTTTACCTGGGGGATCATTTTGCAGGTCCAATTCACCTTTAGTGTGACTGGGAGCTCTTGGAAAGTTTCAAGGAATTAAGGCCCAGACCAACTTGGTAGACTCTAAAAGCAATAGTATTTAGAGGGTTGTGATTATGTAGGAAGAACCTTTCCCATTTTTGGATGGTCAGGGTACCTAGGTGCCAGGAGGCAGATGATGATTTGCAGCCTCCTTTCTTCCCTTAGCCTTCTGAGCCACCCAGAGAGCCCAGCCACCCATCTTCTGAGCAGGCTCAGCTTCCACTTGTACTCTGAACTTTGACTGGGCATACCGTGTGTGCAAGAGTATATGGCATGGTGGTCTTCTGTCCTTGCACATACGAGGGTCATGTCAGTCCAGTGTCTTACACAGTCCATCTTGGAACCTCTGATGCAGGCAGAGAAGTTAGAGTCAGATTTCTTAGTTCTTGGGTGACAGTCAGTGGCCTTGAGGACTGTACCTGGTTAAGGTTGGTTTCGGGTCCAGCATCTGTCACTAGAGCAAACCTCTGACAGCCAAGCCCCAAGACTATCCTTGGTTTGGCAAGGAGAGGGACACTGCCCTAGGGGCTGGGAAAAGTGGTTGGGAGGCAGAAGCTGGATTTAGGGGTACAGCTGAACAAGCTGAGAGCAAGTGGGAACCACATCTGGGGGAGTTAGCGGGGAGTTCCTGCAGTGTAGACTCCATGGCAAAGGAGCTACAGGCAGTGGCCCTCTCGGGGAGTCTGCCAAGCAGGCAGCTATGGAGACTCTGAGGAAGGGCAGTCCGTCCTCCCAGGAAGAGGAACCAGTTGGCTGCAGGAGCCCAGGTGCCAGTGATGATTAATTCACTCCTTGCTGGATTTGTCAGGTGTCAGGGCCTGGGCACTGGGCTGGATGGCTGCAGAGGAGCCAAGACTGAGAGACTGCAGTAGGAGGGCTGGGCAGCAGGCACTTAGGGAGGGCCACTGACCCAGCAGGGATGTGTCTTAACAGGAAGAGAAACTGGCTCCAAAGCATTCCTCATCTGCACACAGAGCACCTACGATCTTTTTAAAATGCACATCCCAGTGCAGTAGCTCTGGGGTTGAGGAAGATGTTCTGTGTTTCCAAACTATTCTTGGTGATATGGCACTGCTATTCTACAGGCCACAGCTGGGGAAGCAAGGCTAGAGGACAAGGGATTGGCTGTCAGCATTCACGGGAGCCTCAGGAGCCTTGTGGCATTCAGTTGCTGCAGAGGCTTTGCTGCTTCTCTCAGGAACCAGGAGCTGTCAGGAATGATGGTTCCTCTCTCCGGGGCCACAGTGTCTCTAGTCTGGACATCTGGTCTCTTCTGTCTAGGCTGGCTTCCCTTAAAAGCCTTTGTGCTTGGCTCAGCTTTGGTATTCTTACCATTGCAAGGACTCTGACCCCAACTTCCTGGCTCTAGTACCTGTTGGACTATAGCATTTTTGTCTCTTAATTCAAGCATTATTTTTTCACTCAAGATCTGAATTGGTTCAGCCCCATCAGGTGTCTACATTCTGTCTAAGAAGCTGTGCAAAGGGACCAACAACCAGGGCTGCCTAAGGCACCCCTTCAAAAGAGGTTCTAGGACCCCACCCCATGGGGAGATTTGGGGAGATGGGTGGAGAGCTCATGCAATTGTGAAGAATTCTTTCAAATGTGACCAGAAACTCTTAAAACAAAATTTATGATTTCAGCATATATTTTGGCTAATTTCCAAAATACAAATTTATTTTGGATTACTTATGGAACCAGATGGTTGCACATCATATTTTTTTTCTTGCTTAAGTACCTAGGGGAAGCAGGAACTCCTCATGAGCTCCAAATATGCCTCAAAGAAAAATGACCAGAGATCAAGGCTCTGTGGATTTCGAGAACTGAGGAGAAGCGAAAGGAAAGAGCCTGAGATGGAACTCTTTGCTCCAGTGTGTCTGCCCCCAGGTCAGATCAACTGGGAAGTAACTACAGCATGCGGGAGCCCAAGCACAATGACCCAGGCACCTGATCCAGGTGCAGAAAGATGGCTTGAATTCAAGTGACAGTAGTAGGACTCGGAGGTTGGGAGGTGCTATGACTCATACACCTTGGATTGTTAGACCTAAAAATCTACATGCACAGAGATTCTGATGGGCTCAAGGTTAATCCTCCCAGTTGGTGGCTGAGCCAGCCAAGAATGCCAGCATCCTGACACCCAGGATGAAGTGAAAATGAGCTTTTCTGAACATGAGGGACTCTTAAGAATGCATAATACTTCCAAGCTTTTTGTTCACACAGAAGTAAGTTTGCAAAGCAGTGGTGGAGGATTCTCTGAAGAAGGGCAAACAGTCCCCAAGGGGGAGGAGTTGGTTGCTGCAGGAGCTCTGTTGCCAGCAATTATTAATTCACTTCTGCTGGATCTGTCCTGAGGGCCTCCCGTGCACAATAACGTGAGGAGTGTTGGCAGCTTTGGAGGGAGAAAGACTGACTCGTCTCCGAGGGAGGAAGGTGGGACTCCTCACAAGGTTGCCCTCCTCCCAGCTCCCTCTTTCCTGAGAAACAACTTATGCTTTCGGCCTGAACTCAGGCTGCTGAGGACGCAGTGTTCCAGGGATGGTGGCAGATCTTGGAGAAGGTACAGAAGCTGGGCCAAAAGGCTGGAACTTATGCAAATTGGGCTTGAGGGTGACTCAAGGAGGAGGCAGCCTCTGCTTTATGTCTCCCCCTTCAATGTACCCAGACCTGGACACCTTGGGAGGAGTGATAAAGAATCCCGAGGGGGACAGCCTCAGTGCTAAGCTGACTTGGGAAGGGGTGTGTGTGTGTGTGTGTGTGTGCGTGTGCGCGCGCGCGCGCGCGCGCGTGTGTGTGTGTGTGTGTGTGTATTGGGAGGGAGGCCAGCCCTCCTTTCCTCTTGAACCTTTGCTTGCTAGCAAAGTTCACAAGTTGAAATGCCTATGGGGCAGAGAGGTTTAGCAGAAAGAAACTTGGTGATTCAGGAAGCAGAACTGGGTTAATAGTTGTATTAGGCCTAGGAGCAGCTGAGCCTTTATTCTGGGGTCTGAAGGTCTCCAGAACTTTTTTTTTGCAGAATCAGGACACTTGGGGCTTACTGTGTACTATTGTGCAGGCTGTGCACTGAACAGCTCCAGGGGCTGTCATTCCCATTGTGAATATGGAGGCCCAGCAGCAGAGTTATTTTATGATTATTCAGTTAAGGGTGATCTAGAGAAAAACAGAGAAATTTAGACATCTTCCATTCTTCTATCAGTGCCCCTCTGTCTTGTTTGGCAACTCACATTCCTGTAGCTGCCTAGCCCAAAATGTCTGTGCTGCCCCTTTCTTTCTGCAACTCACCCCACTCCCTTTTTCTCTCAGCATAACTGTTGTAGAGGAAATCAATCTGGCAAACATTGTGCTAAGGAAAACAGAGTGATAGAATCACAGAGCTGAGTAGGATCTGGGAGGCCATGTAGGCCAGAGATTGCCAACTCTACCAGGGATTAAGATTGATTCTTACATTAAAACAGGAAAGTCTTTCAGGGAGGTATAAATTTTCTATTTCTCCCCAACATGATTCCATGTTATTTCACAACTGCCTGAACTAAATCCATTGTCTATGTTGAGGCAGGGAATTGACTTTATTGAGTCATCATCCACTGCCCTCTTGTTGGAAACTGGTATCCAAAGAGGTGGTCTGATTTGTCATATTTACTTAGTATGTTCAATCTCCAAGAAATTGGCTTTTTAAAAGATGGGAGCTAGAGAGGAAATTCTAAGGAATAAGTCTCAAATGGGGAGGCATTGGCCAGGGACATGCAGTTGTTTGCTGGCTGGACTCCATGAGTCATATGTTCTTCCTTTCCTCAACTCTAAAATGAGGATATTGGACTACTTGAATCCAAATAGTCCTTCCAGTTCCTTCTCCTTTGATTTCCTCTCCAGGGAAGTTGAGGCAATTCAGTGGCAAAGGTTAATGATCCAAATCTCCCAGGAATTCATATCTCAGCAAAGTGTATGCACGATCAATGACTAGATCAAAGCACATGAAAATCATTTTTCCTAGTTGTCAGATAGTTAATATCTGAGAAACAGATTGAATTGCTGCATGATCTCTAATTTAGGGAAAATGGCTGAAAAAATTGGATTGACCTTTTAGTAGTCACTTCATATTTTGACTATTTTTAGCATGTGATCGTATTATTTGTGGTGAGGTGTATGTTGCCCTGAAGTCAGTTACAGATGTGTAATAAAGAAGATAGCTGGCCTCTCTCCCTTATTTCTGAGAGGTAGTCTCCAAATACTTGGAATTTCCAGGGGATAGGAGTATCTTTGTTATTCATGCTGGGTCCCCTGGACCATGCATGACCGTTAATGGTAATGAGGTGAACCTTGGTAGGTTTCTAGATTAGTTGTGCTAATGAGATGATTTGGGATTGTGGCTGAGTGTCAGAAAGACCAAGTGTGTGGTTAGAAGGTCGAGGCTTTGAGTCAGTAATGTCAGTGCAACCTCTGGGAAGAGGATAGGCCTGGAGATTGATTTCCATCACGTGGCCATAATTCAATTACTCATGTCTATCTAATGAAACCCCAATGAAATCTCTGCACACCAGAGCTTGAGTGGACTTCCCTGGCTGACATAATCCTTGCATAAACACATTGCCACACATGGATGCACTAGGAAGATGACGCATGCCTAAGGAAAATGGAGGTTATGTGTCTGGGACCCTGTAGACCTCACATATGTCTCTCCCATTGACTGGTTCAGATTGTTATCTTTTTGCTATATCAAAACTCCACTCAAAGTGAAGCACTTTCCTGAGTTCTGTTAGTTTAGCAAATTACTAGACCTGAAAGGGAAAATGGGGATCCTCAAATTTATAGGCAGCTGGTCAGAAGTGAAGATAATTTAGGGAACCCTGATCCTGCTGATCGTATCTGAATAAGGGCAGTCTTGTTGAGGATTGTTCCTTTAACCTGAGAAGTCTGGTCCAGTTCTGGGTAACAGGAGAAAGAAAAAGCAAAAGCAAGAGTTTGTGTGAGCAGAAATTCCAAAAAGGCTTGAGGATCAGTCCTTCCACATAGGACATGCTTTTCTGAATGTCTCTGGATATCTCTCCTGCTTTCTGCACCCCACTCTGGGCCCCAATTCTCAAATCTGGAAAAATCTACAGATTCTTTGGAGAAGTTCACTCATTGTTTGATTAATGGGTCTCAGGATCCAGAATGTATGCTCTGGAGCTGATGGCATGGGTTCAAATTCTGGCATTACTATTGACTTTCCCTGGGACTCTGAGCAAGGAAAATTATTTAGGCTGATTGTTTTCTGATCTGGAAAATAGTGATAATAACAATCCTAGCTTCATTGATTAAACAAATAGTTATACAGAAAGCCCTTAAAAGTTGCCCAGAAAATGGGAAGACGTCCATCAGTTATTGTGAATATTATTCTCCATTGAGCTGTACTCATCAAGACAGCAGTGTACTCTTAAGTGCATGGGCTTTGGAAATGGGTAAACCTGGGTCCCATGTTTCACACTTGCCTCTCCCCGCCTGCATAACTTTGAGCAAGATGCTTAGCTTCTTAATATCAAAATTTCTTATAAAAAATGGAGCCACTGATATTGGCAACATTAGCCCAAAGTATGAAAATGGTGTCATTTAAGCCCTCAATCTGAAGTAGGTGCTCAGTGCCTAGGAGCTGTGATGACTAGCTCTGTTGGTATGTGTTTGTGACCAATAAGCCACCTGGCAGTGGTGCATGGGGTCAAAGGAGTGAGGGAGTTGTACAAGGTGGAAACCTAAGTTCAGTAGTGGTAGAGGTGAGCATGTACTTGGAGTCCTAGAACTTCAAGGAGACATCAAGGTTAGAATAGGTTGCTGAGGAATTGGAGAGTGCAGGGAGAGTCTAGAAGACCTTCTCACAGAGCAACTGGGAAGGGGGCACCAGCAACTCAGGGTTTGTCAGAGGAAGGTGGCACCCATTGCTATTCTCTGCAAAGAGCTTTGTCATTTGTCTGTCATGTTGTTTGTTTATTGAATAGATATTTGGCAGAAGTATATTCAACAGAGCACTTCAGCAGGGCTGGTGTTTTACCAGCAAATAAATTAGAATCATGGAGTTAGCTAAGGCATAACAAAGTAAATGGCATAAATATGTCATTTGGCCATTATGAATTCATTCATGTATAGAAATCCTTAATGCATCTCTTATCAAATCTTTAAATAAATGTTCTCTTTATATCAGGCTTGTACTTTAATTACAGGCAGCAATACTGTTAGTGCATTCTCCAGAAGCTGTGGAAGTTCAGCCAGTGCCCTTAGAGCAAGACCAGGGTGACTTGTCTGACTTCAACCCTTCTTCTTCCTGCAGCCCAGTTGCCTTCTCTTCAGGTTGCAGTGAAGGGTTGGAAGGCAGCAGGGGTAGGGGGTGTGAAGCAGGGAGGAGAGTAGGAAGGACCTTGGGGCTCAGCCAAGGCATGCAGAGGAGTGAGGTTGGGGATCAGTTAAGCTCCCCTGGGGTCTAAGGCAAACATTTCCAAAGTGCTCTTGACTGGCACTTCAATTCTCCCTTCCCTGCTGAGAAAGCTTTCTTTCTGAGGTTTGAATTTGAGAGTACAGTCAGCCCCTCATACTGCCCTTTGCCTATTTTTTCCTCCTGGTAGGGAAGAAAGGAGGAAAAATAGCCTTAAGAAAGCAAAGAAAGAGGCCGTCAAAGGCCCCATTCCTCCACCATCAATCATTGGGGGGTTGAGGAAGTGAATTCAGAAACCAGGAGGGGTGTAGGAAGGTCCCAAGGTGCTTGTGGGAGAGCTGAACAGTTTCAATTTCTATTCAAAATTATTAATGTGATGAGAAAGAGTCATTTCCCAAGGTTTCTTATAAATAATTTTCACTCTGAAAGCAGCTTTGCATTCTGAGCTCTCCTTTCCTTTCTAACTCCACACACACCTTTAATTATACATCCTGTCACTGGCAACCGGAGATTATTGTTCTTTTGACCAATTTATACTGATTGTCTGGGAGGTTCACAAGAAATGCTAGGAACATCAGAAATCCTTACACTAAATGCTGCATCTCTGATGTAGGTCTTCAAAGAACTCATCTCAGAGATTTCAGGGTGGAAGGCTCAACTTTGCTGTTTTCACTGGTTGTTCTTAGGATTTTTTCCTTCCCTCCTTTTTATTTCCAGATAATGTAAGAGAACTTGAAGGCTCCCAGGGAACGAAATCAGCTCCGATCAGTTTCTATTACCCAGCTCTTTTCTTTTGTATGTAGGAAATATAAGAAAGCAAAATGTCTTTCAGTAATTCCCTGGGTTTGCTGGAACCGGGGGCTGGTTGGGCATTGGAAGCAAAGGGTTAGGGAAAAGCCTCTTGGCCTGGATGGCGTCAGACCTGTTCATTATGACATTCTTCTATATCAGAGTTCTTTCCCAATGAAATGGTTGTACCCAGTTATTTTTGATGTTGGGCATGACAAGTATATTCTTTTATTGACTGTAATATGTGTTATTTACATGATATTTAGGAAGCCTTTTGAATCATTGAGTGTGAAAGTTTTAGAATGTGATTTGACCTTAGAAGTCATCTTGTTCACCTCCTCAATTTTCAGAAGAGGAAGCTGAATATGGAG